TGCTAATAAAACACTGCGGGAGAGCAGCAAACGATGGCACGGACTGCTGTGCGTGCAGTTCTGGTCGCGGAATGGCGTGGTTTAACCCCAAGCTCGCAATCCTTCCTGCCTCCTTCCCCCGCCCTGGGATGGGGAGGAGAAACATGAGTGAGTGCGGAGGCTGAGATAAGAACAGTTTAAGGATTGAGAACAAAATGAGATAAAATACTAATGGGGAAAAAGCAGGGACAGAGAAGACAAAACACCAACAAACAAAAACACAAAAAAAACACTTGATGCGCAATACAGCACCATCACCTGCGGACCGATGCCAGCCCGAACCGGGACCGGCCACCGGCTAATTCCCTCCCAGTTCATATACTGGGCATGACGTTGCATGGTATGGCACATCCCTTTGGCTACTTCAGGTCACCTGTCCCGGCTCTGCTCTCCCCCAGTTTCTTCGGTATACCTTTTCACGGGCAGAGCATGAGACACGAGAAGGAAAACGTCCTTGATTTAACATAAACACAACCTAGCAGAAACCAAAACATCAGTGTGTTATCAACATTATCCTCATTCTGAATTCAAACAGCTACGGAGGAGAAATTCACTCCATCCCAGCCATGGGGGAGTTATGTCAGCGCTGAGGATTTCCCTGCGGGAGGGAGGAAGGGATGACGGAGGAAAGGAAGAGGGAGGAAGGGACGAGGGAGGAAGGGATGCCCTGCAGGAGAAGAGGGGCTGAAACAAACCCCTCCCCGGGCAGGTAAATAAATAAGGGGGGGAATAAGTATATAAAGGGAAAATAATTTAAACAAATGAGGGGAAAGTAATTAAACAAAAAGAAACAAATAGGGGGAATAGGGGTGGGAAAAATAGGAGGTAAATAGATACATAAGGGGAAATAAATTAGGGGAGGAAATGAATAAGGGGAAAATAAATAAGAGATAACCAAGTAAGATGGGAAAAAAAGGGGGAATAAAAGGAAAGTAATTATTAAAATGGGGGGAAATAGGGCTGGCAAAAACAGGGAGGGAAATAAATACACAAGGGGAAAATATATAAATAAGGGGGAAATAAATTTGGCAGCCAGTCACTAGTGGTCTGGAAAACATGAGGAAGGGCTGAGGGAATTGAGTTTGTTTAGCCTTGAGAAGAGGCTCAGGGATGACCTCATGGCTCTCTACAACTCCCTGACAGGGGTTGCAGAGAGCTGGGGGATGTCTCTCCTGCCATGGCTGCAGGGCGAGGACTAGAGGGGAGGACTAAAGGGAATGGCCTTGAGCTGAGACAGGGCAGAGTCACATTAGATGTTAGGAAAAATGTTTTCCCTGTCAGGGTGGTCAGGCACTGGAATAGGTTGCCCAGGGAGGTCGTGGATCTCCATCCCTGGGAGTGTTTAAGAGGATACTGGGGATCTGGTTTAGGGGTTACAACAGTAGCAGGTTAATGGTTGGACTTGATGATCTCAGAGGTCTCCTCAAACCTTGATAGTTCTGCAGATCTGTGAAATGAAAATAATTATAAAAAGGGAGGGGAAATTAGGGTGGAAAGTTGTGGGGGGAATAAATAAACAAGGAGGAATAAATAACCAGAAATACAATTTAAAAAGTGGGAGGGAATGGAGGGAAATACAGGTGGAAAAAATAGAGGAGGAAATAAATACAAAAGAGGAAAACAAATAAGGGGGAAATAAAGGAGAATAAATAATAGGGAAAAGAATAAATAAGGGGAAAAATAAGGGGGAATAAATGGGGAAATGAGTATCAGGGAAAAATAAGTAAAGGGGAAATAAATACAAAAATAATAGGGGAAAATAAATAATCTGAAAAAAATAAATTTAGAACAAACAAAAGCAGCTTTGTCTAGTGCTTGAAACCAAATACACAGCCTTGACATTATTATTTTGCTATTTTCATGACTGAACTATTTACATGGATTCAAGACTATTTCAAGCCTATTCAAAACAGCACCAGGCTTTATTAATATTTATTAATTAAACAAGATGCCAGTTTCAGGCCTGTATTTTTAGTACAGTGAGAAGGCTGTTAAGCCTCCTTGTGGGTCCACCCCAAAATGTTATTTCTTGTCCTTTTCAATGTATTAATTAGTGAGAATAATTATATTAGAATGATCCAACATGGACTTAGTAAGCACCAATTCTCTGGGTTTTTGTGCCAGACAACCCTGAGGAAGTCACTGCTAGTCCCAAATTCTGTGGCATTCAGTTTAAATCCAGATTTAAGTCAGACTCTGCAGAGCAAGTTGAAGGCACAAAACCCTGGAGAACCTGTTTATTCAGCAGCAACAGAGACATCATAGCTCAGGGGATTTGTAACGGGAATTTCACCTGATTCTCCTGACAGTTTCAGCCTTTAGGGAACTAAAAGCCCTTAGCAGCTCCATGGGTGGCTAAGGGCTCTAAGGAAATATTGATACAGCTCAGTTCCAAACGACCTGAGGTTGGCTAAAGCAGAGAACTCAAAAAGCCAAACACAAGCTGCTTGGCAGCTTCACTTTTCTTCATCCTGCAACATTTGCAGTAAACACAACCAGAAATGTTTTCATGTTTAGTTTGAGACAAGGGGAAACATGCTGCATCCTCTTTGTTCCACAACTATTTTACGGTTCCATAGGCATTTGAAGGTTCTCCCAGCCCAATAGTTTCCAAGAGCACATTTCTATATAGTGAGTAAACTCTGACGCTGACAAATGGTCACAGACAATGGCACCTGATATGACATAACTATTTGAACAGCTGTTTCTTCAGATTAAAAAAAAACCACAAAACACAACAGATTCCAAGAAAGTCATGGCACCTGATATGACACAACTATTTGAATAGCTGTTTCTTCAGATAAAAAAAAAACACAAAACACAACAGATTCCAAGAAAGTGATTTATTTCCACATGTCCCTACAAGTTAAAGACTTTTTATCTTTTCTTTAAAAAAAACAGTATCGTGTACTATTTAGAAAATGATTACACCTTTCTTGTCAAAGCAGTTACACCCAGTTATGACCTCCTGTCTACCTTTTAAGGATAGGTTGGTTGGTTTCTTTCTTTTAAGAGCAATCCTCAGAATGTGGCGTCAGAAAACAGATATAGGTGAGGATAAAGTTACCAGCAAATGGATAATAGTTCCTGTATAATTATACATTAACTCATCCACCAACTAGTGCTCCATTGGCTCATCTGCCTTTTCCACAGGCACTTCAGCAGGTGGAACAGGCTAAAAGAGAGAGAAAATAAGTATTTTAGGAATACAGAAGACAACACTTGACAAATCAGCTTTATCTGGTTTAAGCATTGCAAGTGGTAAACGCAGCTCATGATGGGAAACAACTTACACAGTGTTACCCAAATGAAGCATAAGCAGGACAGAGTTAATAATTAGGAGACTACAGAGGCATCTTGTGAAGGGTATGAGAAACACATGCAGCCATTTCTGCTGCAAAACAGTGAAAAATTGTACTTGCACAAAGCTGAGGAAAGAAGATGACATCAGCAGAGCCTGGTGCCACTTCCACATAAACTGATTCAACAAGCATGTCAGGTTCCAGCTAAGATTATACAGTGTTTATACAGGAACTTCCAATTTTAAAACTCACATTTTTAGAACTCTACCTGAGGAGTTAAATTTATTTCAAACATAATAGATTGTATCTACATGTCATCTTTCAAGTAAGCCTATTTATTCATATCTAAACCACACACCTTTCTCTGTGGTCTCTCCTCAAGACCTTCTAGGAACGGGGCTACATCATCATCGTCATAAATGGTAAACTCCATGTCTTTGCCAACAATTCCAATGGAAACATTCTGCCAAGAAAAGTTTTGAAACCAGTGAAAAGCATTGTACATCAGTAAGGGCCTTGAGAATGCTGGTGGACAGCACACAGTATGAGCCAACAGCGTGCACAGGTGGCCAAGAAGAGTGTGGCAGCAGGACTAGGGAAGTGATCATCCCCCTGGACTTGGTGAGGTCACACCTCGAGTGCAGTGTTCAGTTTTGGGCCCCTCACTTTAAAAAGGACATTGAGGCTGTGGAGCGAGTCCAGCCAACGGCGGAAAAGATCAGAAAAGGCCTAGAACACATGAGGAAGGCCTGAGGGAGTTGGGTTGTTTAGCCTTGAGAAGAGCCTCAGGGGTGACCTCATGGCTCTCCCCAACTACCTGACAGGGGTGGTAGAGAGGTGGGGGAAGGTCTCTCCTGCCATGGCTACAGGGAGAGGACTATAGGGAATGGCCATAAGCTGAGACAGGAGAGATTCAGAGCAGACATTAGAAAAATGTTTTCCCTGTTAGGGTGTTCAGGCACTGGAATAGGTTGCCCAGGGAGGTGGTGAAGTCACCATTCCTGGGAGTGATTAAGAGGTGTCTGGATCTGGCACTGGAGGATATGGTTTAGGGTTTACATCAGTGACTGGGTAACGGCTGGGCTTGATCTTCAGCCGGTCTCCTCCAACACTGATAGTTCTATGATTCTACTGACTGGTCACAATGCAAAGTTGTGACTCTAATTGTATGTAATGTATCTTAAACACAGATCAAATGTTAAAATAGAACGAAGCAACTAGGGAAACAATGTCTTATTTAGAGAAAGTAACATTTTTGTTAAAGAACTGTAATCTGAGACAATCTTGATAAACTGGTGACATGAAATGAAGATATTAGCTACCAGTATTCAGCTTCCAAGTTTTAGTACCAGCCATTCTTCGCATGAATTTTGTCACACTAATTTCAAGTAACAATGGCAGTAAAATTCCTTCAGAAAACCTATTATTTACCTTGGTGGTCAGATCCTGT